ACTAACTTAGTTATTGAAAAGTTTAAAATTTTTGTGTAAAAATCAATAATTCAAGCATTAATTATTGAATTTTCAATTTGCTATAGGATTTCTTAAGAATTTTTTTAAGCTTTAGGATTTGATTAAAGATTGATTGGAATTGATTTAGGATCTAAAATTTTACTAAGATTTGATTAAAGTTAATTTTGGATTTAGGATTTTATTAGATTTAGGATTTAATCAGGATTTTTTTAGAATTGAATTAGGATTTATCTAGGCTTTTATTAGGATTTAGAGTTTGATTAGAATTTGATTTTAAAAAATTAGAATTTGTTTAAGATTTGATCAAGGTTTGATAAGAATTTGGATAGAATTTTATTAATATTTCATTAGGATTTGGTTTAAAATTTGATCACAATTGATTTAAGATTTTATTAGAATTTGTTAAGAATTATATTAGGATTCAATTAGGATATCTATTTTTGATATTTTATTAAGATTTCTATATTATATATATTTTATTAAGTTTAATTTATTATTTTTTATGTTTTTTTATAAGTTTTTGAGACTTCTTTTGGATTTAATTAAAGATTGATTGGTATTATTATAATTTAATTAGAATTTATTTAAGATTCTATCAGAGTTATTAGGATCATCTTGTTACAAGTTCCATTCTTCCTTCCATAGCCAGATATTCAATGCATTCTCAAGCAAATTTTAAGTAATATGATACCATCATATGTAGCAGTGACTAGCAGTTAAGTCTTTTTTGGTATTAGCTTTCTACTACAGTAACATCTATATGGATAGGTGAATATAGTTTTATATTAACAGATAGTTATGACACATATCTATGACCATGTAGTTATTTCAAAACTTTGATACAATATTCTACAAATTAATAATTTCTAATTTGACAATAACCTAAAGATGTTCTCATTGCATTTGATCTAATAAAAATAAATTATAATTTTGAGAATAAAATGTATAGTCAAATCAAGTTTGTAATGTACAAACTTGAATATAATTTTAAATTTAACATTGTATTCATATATTGTACTTCTAATGTAATAGCTTCTTCTTTAACTACCATCAAAATCTCTTCAATCTCATACTTCTTGATTCCATGAATCATGCTAAGCTAATTCTTAGATCATATTATTAAAGCAATTTATAATCATGTGAAACTATCAAATGAATATGAATAGTTTTACATGTAAATCTTCTGCATCATAGAATCTACATGCTCATTGGTAATGGATTAAAGCAATAGAAGTCTAAGCTCGTAAATAAAAGTAGCAGTAGCTAAAGTTTGACTGCAATTAATGGATTATATCCATTCCCTCAACTTTACAGATTAAGACATTACTTGCATTTTAGAATTTTAGGGTATAGAATTTAGACTACAAAGTTTGTAGATTTAAAATTAAGATTTAATAAATTTAATATTTTTTAAAACTATTATAAATCTTTAAATAATTGACTTTTATATTTATTTATAAGTGGAATTGTACCTCTTCTAAAATCAACCATGGAAATTTTTTATTGTGGCTTATTAAACATTAATAGCAAACAAATGACTTTTGTATGATAATTGAATATGTATAAACAAGAAGCAAACTATAGCACACACATGAAGAAATGACCATTGAATGTTAATAAAGACAACCATTTAGAATTTAAGCAATAAAAACCTTGGCTCATGATTTTGAAATAGTTAGCATTTGCATTACTTTTATTGATTGTTCATAAACAACATCAAAAATTCAAGCTCAAAAGATGCAAAACAAATTTATAAATAACAGAATGCAAATTACAATTGTAGTATTGAAATGCTAAAAATTCATCTAAAAATACATGCAAAGTAATATCAACTAAATATTGGCAAAGGTGAGCAATTTAAATTTAATTTGGAGAAGATTCCAAAGGCGGAGTTGGATGGATGAAAAAATGAAGAAAATATGTTCTTATTGGAATAAATGATATTTGTAGAAGTTGGAAGATTGTAATGAGTGCTACTGTTAATCACATTTTTGCATTATCTTTGTGGATTTGTCTCTATCTATTGGAACCTAATTTCTATTTGCCACCATATATACATCTAATTTTAAAATAAGCCATTCACCTATACTTTATTTAGACCAAATATATCTTTATATTTTTATTAATGTCAAAGGTTATTTAACCAAGAGATGAATAATAAGAACCTATATCAAATAACAATGAATATAATTTTTATTTTTTTCTTGATATTTATCTGATGTAAAATGATTTGAAACAACCTTGCTAAATTATTGTAAGCAAAGGTGGATTAAAAATTTTCAAATATTAAAGTATAATTTTTAAAATCTTATATTGAATATTTATTTGATTATACTTTTTTTAACTAGAATTTAATTTTTTTAAACACAATAGAACTATGGTTTTTTTAATATTTTAGAATATTAATAAAAATAAATTTAATACTAATAAAATATAAATTAATATTAATAACTTATTTAATTCAAAATATGTCAAACATGTATAAAATATCTATAAATATATATATATATAGAATAATATTATTAATTTTATATAAAAATATTATTACTTTTTATTAAAAAATTAATATATACAAAAAAAAAATCTATCAAAAGTCAAATATAAGATATAAATTCCCATTGACACTTCTATCTCTATTCATTCTCTATGCCTATAATAATTACTTATTTGTTTTTATTTTTCCTACAATGTAAGGTGTGAAGTATAACTTTTGGCTTAGATGGTATTATTCTTTATTACATCTCAGTAACTTTCTCAAACATGTTACTTTCAAAATAAAAAATTGAATGTTCAATGATTGTTAAAATAAGAGATGTTTAAATATACAATAGATAGTTTTATGTCACACAAATGTATGGATTCTTTATCACATGATAATTTCATGTTGTTGAGAGAAAGACTAAGGTGGTTTACTAACAATTTATTAATATTTTGGATATGTAAAATAACCAATAAATACTATTTTTTATAAATAATCATTCTTTTAACTTAATTTAAGAGAAAAATAGGGAATAAATAAATAAATAAATAAATAAATAAGACATGATAACAATTAAATTTCTATAATTGATTTTGGTTGCAAAGCATGAATCTTTTTGGCTATACTTCAATTGTGTCTCAATGACTTGATTTAATATGTTATAGAAATGTTATGTATTAGACTACTTATATTTTTTTAAATAATATAGATAAATAAATATTTGATGAAAAAACAATATCAATTTTTTTAAGATAACAACATCCAATTCTAGGAAGAATAATTTTTTAATAAAGAACCTTATATTTCTAATTTTGGTATAAATATGCAATAAGTGGGAATAATAACTTACCTAAATTATTATTGTTTGTATTACAGACAATGTGTGCTATTCATGGTACAATCACAAGAATTGTGCCCTTAAATAGTGTGGCAAATTCTCGTGATTTCTATTTAAAAACTCACATCTAAAAAAATTACTCAAAACCAAATCTGAAAGTGTTCTTTGGGAATTGGCCATGCTATGAAACAGAATACTAAGGATTAGAAGACACCTCACATGTCATGGTAAAAAATCAGAACGCAATATTCACAAATTTGTAACCCCTCTGCTCTGGATGCTAATTCTCTCAATAGAAGAACACCTCAAGGAGGTTACTCTAAACAAGCAGTAACCAGCGCAAGCCAAATTTGACACAGCTTATGACAAGCTCACTTGGTTGAGAATAAATTAGACTTTGCAGTACATATATGCTCTTCATTATATAGTGCAATAAGACAGGTAGGAGAATGAATTGCAACATATATACCCAATTGTGACAGCATAGGTAGATCAATTGAACCTCTTTGCTACGAAATATGTTCTCCGGAAGCATTGTGACTCCATTGCGTTACTAAACAACGCCAATCTCTACCCACTATGGATCAGTCTGAAACTGACTAAGCGTTACATTCGTTCAAATTGTTGCATACAGCTACAGCAATGAGAACTGGAAATAGTGGACTGTGGACAAGATAGATATGGTGAACTGACAACATGCATTCGAACAGCCACAATTACATAACACTAAAAATGATTTGCTCTCTGATTCTGTCGTATCAATCAGAATTGCTCAATGATCTGTGCATGGTGTCCTCATGACGCGACCATTGGTGAAGTTGCTAGTTACCAGGTAGTCGTCTGCTTCGACAAGTAGGAGAAGTCAGCAGGAACCCATTCACCTTTGAGAGGAGATTTCTCATGGATTGAGTTGAAGTGGCGATGAACTATCATGTTGAAAGAAGTTGACTGGTACGGTATAAGATAGTTAATGGTTGGTTCGAACGGCAAAACAGAAGTTCATTATGATTAAGACTTACAAATCTGGAGTGCGAGTTTTACATGAAGTTTGAAGAAGAGTATGTTTTTGTTGGTAAGGTCTCTTCCCAGATCGATTCCAACGTACGAACCAAGTGAAGTCCCTTCAAAGAGTCAGTCAATAGTCAGCGCTGTCAACTTTTCTTCTACAATTCCCTACCCTTTTCACATTTTCTTCTCTTTTTCATTCTTTTCAAAAATTTCTTTTTTAAAGTTAAATGAGTAAACTAAAATGAATTTTCATACGATATGTGGCTTTAGCGCAGGGACGATTTCGAAGCTGTTCCAGGGGATAACTCAAACCGCGTCCAAGTACTGTGACTAGAAGTTCCATGCCACCATTGAATTGCCAAATACTATTTGACATGTTAGAATGAAAGCTCCAAACCATTGCCATTACTGGTTATATTTCGAAATTCCGACTCAATTCTTCGTTTTAGCCAGACGTCAGGAATCAGTACTTTACCGACAAAAAGACTGTTGTGGCATGGGTCAACGGGTATGGATCATGGAACTGTGTGTGTGGAGATGTTATGCTGCTCTATAAGAGAAAACAAATCTGGCATTGGTAGGGGCTGGATAACGATATTCACTAACAACCCAACTCCGAGCCTGTAACATAACAATGCGACCAGACTACCGTAGTTCATAAAAATGCAGGTAATGCATGAGGTTGCATTGCGAAAAATTAACATGGTGGGACAGCATAAGGTGCGTCATAGTCTCTCAAGGGCCATGTATTGTTCTGCTCTACCTTGAAGTCCAAAATTACTGCACTGCGGTATAGGTCCACCAGCTCACGGCAGATGCTTCACTAACACCTGAACCAGCCTTTTGGTCTGATACTTAAAAAGAAAACCCTGATCTAACTTAAATGCGAGATCTGAGCCTTCACAAGATGCTGTGTAGGAGCACAGCGATCAGAACGACTATAGCCACCGTCTCGAAAAATTCAGGGAAGTAACAATGCATTTTGTCAGTTGATCTAACCTGGGAGCTTCAATGATACTTGCTCCAATAGGTGTAGGATTAAAAATGGTGTTGATTGCATTAAGAGGCCAAAGACTTTTGTGAAGCTTGTGATTGAGAAACACCCCTTGGCCAACTGGGTCAAGCAGACTAAAAGCCCTCTTTCATCATAGCCTGGTAAAGTAACGCTGCCTGCAAGGAGTACCCAACCATGACTAGATTTGCTGGATGAGCTAGGACGTACAGAGTGAACCGTGATTGTCTCAGATGCAAGCATGGCCCTCGGAGTCCGCATGTCGGATGCTCCAGAAATTCCAAACTCTGCAAGGGTCCTGAAGGTTTAGAACGCATGAACCCATCCGTTCTCCATGGGATGGGCATTGTACTGCAGTTAATGAACCACAGGGCCTCCGACATCATCATATATACCTCCTGCAGTGGTGCACGAAGTTGGTTTTAGCCATGCGTGAATAGCACCTGGATTGGATTGTCTTGGTCACCTCAATTGTGCACCTGAGAACAAGCGATCGATCCATGTGTCGCGGAGCTTCATCATCTACGAATGACCAAATGCAAGTAATAACTTGTTCAAAGGAGCTGAATGACTCGAGTCAAAATCTTGGCCGGGAGTCATGCATCTTCTCTCACCAGTTACTGTGTCCGCATTCATGAAGGTTTCGCAGGTACGTCCTGTGAAGTCGAAGTAGGGGGTCTTTCAGGTCGCCGACCGTAAGTAATCACCATGACCACATCTCCGACATGAGCAACAGATCCATCAGGAGCCTTCCAAGCCCTGCCTTCAGACAACAATCTAGACGTACATGGATTAGCGACCTTCGTGATTGGGGCTTGCCAAATGCCATCCCGCACTTGTTGCAGAGGTATACTCGGTACTAAAGGCTGCCCATTACACGTGAGCTCCACCTACACGTGTGCAACAGTATGGTGTCAAATCCGAGTGGTTTCTCTAACCTGTCTCAAAAAATCTGCAAATTTTTCGAAGTCTGGAGTAACAGAACGACAGGCAGACAATATTAAGGATAACACTGATTGTTCGGAATCTGGCGCTTGTACCTCATCCTCGTTATCTAAACCCAGCTTATTCACCAGGTATTTCTTCACCGCTGCTACTGTCATACTGTCATCCCTGTACAGGTTCACAAGTGGGAAATTTAGTTTGGAGTAAAGGAACTGCCTGCATAGGCTGGAAGCAATAACTACTGATTGAAAAACTAACTCAGTGAATCGTAAATACCGAATGAGTATGTCACCATACAACAAGGATCTCTTTAAAGAAACTTACACAACTCGTACGTATCCTGCAGGAATCTGCTGCAACGGAGAAGCTTCTGGCCTGCATTAAGAACAGAACGAACACGATTCATCAGCAAAACGCACCAACATTGCAGAAGGCAGCTCAGTCCACTTAATCATGGTCCCTCAGCCTACACGTTTCCAGGATTGTAATCAAACTGTTTGGGGGAACAAAATCAACGTTTCGCAGAATTCTATACTCTGCTTAATTGACTCTTGAGGCATCCATGTAAACAGATCAGGCCATCAACGTGCACCAAGGGCAGCTTTGGCTACGAAGGCTACAAAACTTATTCCCAAATTCACTACCAATTGGTGCATTTCTAAACATGTGTGAACAAATTCACAAATTAGAGAACATACGACAGAGACCTGGACATTGAGCATTAGAAAGATGCGCCTCTGACTGTTTTAATCATTCAACCACGAGGGGTCTTGGCTAAAAGGTAGTAGTAGGTAGCATACTGGGAATTTGATGCTTGGAGAGTGAACCACAACCCCGGTCTGGGAGCATGGGGGCGAAGGACTCTTTTCTGCTTCTCTGAAGAAGATACTGGTGGTGGTGCCCGTCCCTTGCTTCCACTACTAGATGGTGTACCGAAGAACTTCGCCAGGCTAGTGTCTGTACTTGGATCTAAAGCAGGACCAGCTTGAAGTTGTGCGGGAGGATACATAGCGTTTCGATGCATGCGTTGGAGTTCTGTAAGAGGATCATCCTTGGATCCCTGGTTACACCACAATCGATCCGGTAAGTACAAAGGGGAGCCTCATCATCAGACCTTGCAGTGGTCTTGATTAAGAAATATTCCTCTACCCAACGTAAACATGTCAACCCTGGAGAGAAGATATTCAAAAATTAGAGGTACAGTAAACGACGGAGAAAGAGAAACGTGTTCAAACAAGGAAAACATTTAATCACTCCAGTCCAGAGTGTGAACCTCAACGTTATCTTCTGAGTCTCAAGATTTGTGCGAATACCGAGTTTTTTTTCTACCCATGAATTGACCAATGAAAGGCACAAATTAATATGTTAAAAATTCTCAAGCCTCAGTGTACATTCGAGACACTGACCGTTAGCCTTCGGTAAGCTAATACTAAGTGATCTACATTAATCGCCCCGTTTTTGTATGCATTCTGACCATGTGGAAGACATTACTAGGCTGCCATTATCCTCCGCCCGTTACCAGGTTCGATCGCCAACCTGAGAAGAAAGCATTTCATGACATATTGAATGTATGAACGGCTTGAATGTTATCAAGCTTATGTACATCAACTTGTTCTGTAAATGACAGAACAATGCGATCTAAGTGAATAGTGTGTCGGGATGATCGAACATGTGACCCTAGTCGTCGCATTCCATTAAATCACCAAAGGTTGGCAAAGTTTATTTTCTGGAACCTCGACTTCCTTCAGGCCGACCAGTGGAAATTCAAAGCTTTTAAACTTGCTCTATGGTAACTACGAGTAGTGCAGAACAGATTAAAGAACGGTATATGAGGTAGTAAAGAAATACCTGATCTGTGCCTTGGAACCTTTCAACGGCTCGTTTTAGAGCCTCCAGATACTCCTCACGATCCGCACCAGGCATCATGGACTCTGCACCTGGCCTCAGGCTCGAAGGAGATGTCCCAAAGCCACTGGGCATATTTAAATTCTTACCGCCCACTCGCTGCAGAAGGTTATGCCACGCCGCTTCAGGATAGACATTTTGTGTAAGAGGTGGTTGCACAGACAAGAGAGAAGTCGAGGCGCCCCCACTACTACCAGGTAAAGATCCCGACCAATCTCTGAACAAAGTTTGATTCGTCGTATTCAGCAGTTCGACATTATTGGGAGGTGTTCGCGGAGGATCCTGTGGACTCGGCATCCATGAAGGAGGTGCTGAAAGCCTCTTTTGAAATCCTTCACAATATTGACCGGAACCGGAGCCAGCACCAGAGTCGCTTGGCTGATGACCTGATGATCTCCAAGTATTGGCGGGAGCGGACTCAGTTAGCTCGGATCTGACCTGTTGCAAGACTGGGGCAGTATGATATGGCAATGTGGTTAAGTTTGTGAGCGCCGGTGGGGGATAACCTCTCTGCAAAATTGGAGTCGATGGTGATAAGAAATGCTCGGAATTGCCGACATTTGCAGGCGATGGTTGCACCGCACGTGGGACGAGCGAATAAGGAACGGCCAGGCTAGAATCTCTGCTGCGTGGCCTAGGTTCCAAGAACAAGGGTCTGGAAAGCCCTGATCTAAAACCAGATTCAGGATTAATATCGGGGTAACGCCTGAAGGATTCGCCGGAATGTGTAGATGTAGCTGGTTGAGCCCTGTACGGAGAAGATGTATTTCTCACGACAGTGCTCCCGTGCACATCAGCCGGATGCCGTCTCGATGTCCCTTCATCCTCTGAGCTACCACCTAACTTGAAAAAATCTCTAATACCGAGTTGCGGCGGGTCTGCGGAACTGCTTGGAGGGATTTGCATGGGGCTCCGCTCACTTTCCAGCTGCTCTCCAACTGGTTCATCTTCTGGAGACTGATAAGATTGCCTACTTCTACCTAGACTCAACTGCAACCATCCGCCAGAACCACTAGCCATAGTCTTTCGCTTGCGGGAAGTCTGCAGTATTGTCGACTCAGGTTGGATATTCCTGGTTGGTGTGTTAACTTGAGAATCCTTCCGAGTGCGGCCTGTTGATAACAATATTTGGGAAGCGGAATGCGTATCATCACATCCCGGAGATTTAGTACCTCGAGCAGCAACGTTCTGTTCTGAGCTAAAATGCACATCCACTTGCCATCGGGCCGGTACCTGGTCTAGGTTTCCCTGCTCTACCGGCTTTTCCCCAGAACTACATTGTGGTGCCGCTACTTCAGTTGTGCCTCGACTAGTACACACATGGGCTGCACAGTCAATGTCCTCCAGTGTGCTTGACTTCGGACTATCTTGATCTGCCATGTGCTGCTCAGCAGTCAGGTCGGAACCTTGACAAGCTTCGGGGGTCAGGGCCTCTGCTGCCAGCTCAGACTCTGAGAGTGCAGTTCGTGCTCCCAAACCATCAGCGTAGTTGTACACAATTTTCCTTCTCTTCGATGGTAACGACCAGAATAACGTCTCCAGTTCCTGATCAGAAGCAGGTATGTGGGCATTGACAATCGGGGACTGCATGTCATCAAGCTGGCTCCTCTCCTTCCTCATACACCCAACAGACATCCGAGATGTTTCCACAGGATAGACCAGCCCAACCTTTGAAACACTAATACTCTCTGATGAAGACATGTAGGAAGGTGTAGCGTCAACGTTCGAAAATCCTCCAGTTTCCGGCAATCCCTTGAAGCGGTCAGCAACTTCAGGAAGATCATGGTGTATGATGAGGGTACGAGAGATGATGTGATCTAGGGCTGATGGTTCCGTGTCTTCAAGCTCCCGCACTTCGGCCTGAAACCTGTCATAAAACCATTTCCAAGACCTATTCCTTGAAAACCGAGCCATATGATCGAACTCCTTCACACATGAAAAGCGCAAGGGTAGAATCGCTACAACTCTTCGAAGCAAAATATTCCTCCAAATCCTTCCTGTGGCACTCAAGCAGACATCCAACTATACAGAAAAACTAAAACGGACAGTTGTCATAAACTGCCTCTCTCCAGCAAATGTAGCTTCTTGTTGGCCCTCGACACTACCACTGAAATTTAATGGAAGTATTCGGTGGGCCTGCAGTAGCGGGCACCTTACAACCCGTAGAAAATCTCGCAAACCGTGCAGCCACCTCACTCATTGGCGTGTGGGAGTACTGCAAATTGGATAAGGACCTTTCGTTAAAGAAAAGAGAATGTACTACAGGAAACGACGTCCTCTTTGATGCTTTGGAGTGGAGGTGAAGGTGGAGATGGTGCTGACAAGAAAGGTGTTGGACAACATCGACTTACCTATGCACAATTCATGACCCACGATTGATGATCATGTTGCGTGCACTTGAAGCCAGTGGTCGGCACTGGGAATCCGGTACCTACGGAAATGAGATCATAGGGCTTCCGATGATATATTGCACTGTCCCCGATGAAGGGCTGCAATGTTGTGAGACTGCATACGAAACGAGATATTTCCAGTTGACTGAATTGCATACCTGGGTCTAGCTTCGCCCGCTCCCTCTCGATTCAATGCTAAGCTGTGAGCAACAAAATAGTCGCTTGTAACAGACGGTGCTCGAGTCCACATGTTGGAGAATGACCTGCAAGCACCCCTCGGACATGTAATGCCCTACTTTCTCTCCGTAATCTAGCCCCAATCTCCCATCCGGATAAAAATGAGACTCTTCACGGCGAGCTGACATGGCAACTACAGACATGCGCAACGCTTCCCACAGCTCGACTACAAGACTTCAGCTTCTTCATCCTCCTCCTAAAGGTTCCATCTCAGAGAATGTGTCACAAGTGTTTCCCGGAACCATTGCTGTCTGACCTTCTAGGTTCAGATGGCCAGTAATTCATTGGTGGTCCACCAGAATAGAGGCGGACATGTACACAGCGCACGTCTGCTGCACTGTGGGCGATCTAGAGCTAGCTAACGACAACAGCTACCCCGTGCAGCAAGAAATATTTTCATTCGTGTCGGAACGTGGGTGTCCCACGGCTGTTCGCGTCAATTACAGTTAATGAATTAGGAGGGTCCACAGAGAAGAGGAAGAATCGTTTTGTCTCAGGCTGGATGTCAAAACAGTTTCCAAGCAAGATGATTTGGAACGGCTCGAGAGAAGGATTGAGAATTCGGCAGTAAGGTTATGATCCGGCAGAAGTAGAATGATAACTGAATTCAATCAAGAATTCAAAACGTGTTTGTCCCTCTCCAAGTTCGATGCCACGACCGAAACTTCACTACGAAAAAGAAGTAAGCACGAAACACGCGCGCCTGCTGAGTGTGACCGCAACGCGGCAAGAACGTCGTCAACAGAGTCAAAGCAGCTAACCAAATGAGCATCGCCTCTAGTCTAAACAATCAATGGTCATTTCATTGCGCAGGTCAAAGAGATTCACACGACAAAAGAAGAGCAAAACCCCAACCACATGGACAGTGAGTAGAGCACTGGCCCCCAAGCCCGACTCCATCACTCATCAAACCCCTGACACACGGCGACATCCACCGCAACTAAATTAGACCGAGCCTGCCATTCAAGTTGTTGTTGCAGAAGTGGACACATGTATGGGCCCCGTAGACGTCCAAAGCTAACGTAAGCAGATCACTGTAGCCAGCCAGCTAGCCAGGCGGAGGACAAAGCAACAGGATCGAACCATGCTTCATATCATGGAATTTCTACACTAACCCTGACTCTTTCTCTCTTTCTCTCTCTCTCTCGCTCTCTCCTTCATTCTCCCCCCCCCCCCCCCCCCCCCCCCCCCACGTCGGTCCTACCAACTATCCCCTCGCTTTCCCTTGCGGTACATGGCGACGAGTCTGGACAACGGCTCAAGCAAGCTAGCTTGCAATATCCCCGCGGGCTCTCTCACTGCCTCTAATTCTTCGTTAAGAACGAATTAGAGGAAGACCAGGATACTCTCCCAGCTTTCTGTCATCGTTTCGAGTGCGTTGTACAGTACATTCAGACTGGGGGGGGAAGGGGGGGGGGACGAGGATGGTGGAGACGAGGTTGGGGTGGTACTAATCATCCTCAGCATGAGAGTGAGGGCGGAGCGTGAAAAGCATGGTTAGTCGTCGGTGGCCGTTGTCTGTGATTGTGGATCACCTGGTCTACTATAACTACATCCCCTCCTCGAGATTAGGCGTGACCAAACCCACCAGATCATTCAACCAGCATGCGCGCTTGGATAATTGCACTTTTTTAATCTTACTAAGTTTGACTCGCCCTCCTTTTACTCTCCCCCGCCTTTCTAGCCGTCGTCCCAAATTGTCGACGTTCGTCGCCACCTTCAGACAGCCGTGCTCAGTGATGTCAGAAGCTGACTATGTTTGGAAAAAAATCATGGCCCTCATTTCTGAAACGAGCGTGACTTTGAACAAGAAGCTGTGCAGTGTTGAGTGTGTGCTTAAATATGTGTGTGTGTGGGTTCTTTCTTTTCTTCTTTTATATTACTTCCAGAGATCGATGATGATGATGATGATGATGATCCCCGTCTCCTCAGAACCTCTCGGGTTTCGTGAAGTTGGAGCCTGGACTGACCTCCAGCAATCCATCTCCAGGCAGCCACTCCGATCTCTGCAACAACCATCCTAACCTCCCTTTCTCTATCTCCCTTTCGCTTTTGCTGTTGCTGCATTGGGAACATCAGCCGTTGCCCTCTCATCTCCCTCTCAGATCCTCCCCCACGATCTTACACCTTCTCCATCTCTACGACTGCACCGAAACCCGCAACCAGCTCCGGCGGACCCCATCCCTTTTCTTCGTCTCCTCAGTCTTCTTTTCGATCTGGCTCTGCATGGGCACTCCGCATGGACTGCTTTAAAAACAAACTAACTGGCGGTAATACATTCATATCTAAGTAAACCACCGTCCAACGGTTCGATAAGAACAAAAAAGCATTCGTTCTTTTCTACCGTTTCATTTCTCCCCTGCTAATTGACAAAACGAGTAAAACCGAGCTCATGAAAATCATCCCAAGGGTGTGAGACTTGAAATAGCTTAGGCTGATTTTGCTTGTCTTTTATATCAGCTCGTGATTCTTACAGGTTGCAACCCCTCCAATATATCTATATATACATGTACACACATACACACACACACTCACCCCCAAATAGAAACAAAAGTAGGCGATGAATTCGCACCGTCGCATGCCCACCTGTGTTCGTTACCAAAGGTGGCTGTTTTATCGATCGAAGCTCGTCCGTACATACACACATAAAACAAATAAATGGATGAAGAAAAATTTAAATTATTCTTAGTAGTAGTAGTAGTATTGTAATAAAATGGGGGAGCAGAAACCCACAAACAGTTGGTGCATAGTGGCCTCCGCGTTTCCGCTCGTGTTGATGTCGTATTCGGAGTGCTTGGTAACATTGTACCAAAAAATTCTAAAGAAAAATAGCATGAATTTATTACAGTGATATTGCTACTGCTGTTTCTACCACTTTTGTTGCTGACCTCCAGCTTCATATTGCAGAGAGAAATCTTTGTTTGTGAAGAAAGATTTCAATTAAATTGCTATGTTTGCTTGTTTGATGAATCAAATTTATAAAAACAAAAATGTCCATAAATTACTTTGAACTTTCATAATTATATAATAAATTTTATTTGATATATGAATATAATGTATAAGTTTGTAATGGTTGTAATTTTTTTATCAGTGTACGGAAGATCCAGTTGATAGGAGTATTTGCCCAAAACAAAGTCAGAGTTTTTTATGAACTGATATCTTACTCTATAAACAAAAGGTTAAAATAAAATAAAACTTTAACTAACTAAAAGTAAGTAACTTTTATAAATTGTTTCAGAGTTAAAATGCATTTTCATTATAAAATTAATGTTTTTCTTAGTCTTCCATACTAAATATATAACTTCTAGTTTTCTAAAAACTCAAGATTACAACTTGTAATATATATATATATATATATATATATATGGTAATGTTAAATGGACTCATGTTTTTACTGAATCAACCTACCCATGATGAAGAATATGATAATAATGAATGTAGTTGAATCATGTGGTTGAATATGATAATAATCATAATGAATGTGGTTGGTTTTTATTGGTTTTGGATCTAATAGTGGAGAAATGAATTTAGAGGTCATTTTCTTTTCATGATGGTCACAATGGGTGGGTCAATTTAGTAAAAGCCTAGGTCTATTTAACATTCCCTTAGCAAGAGAGAGCAAAGTTTGTGTGTTCTATAATTATACACAAAAATATTTATGTTCTTAATCTTTTTAATAAACTCTATTATGAAAAATATAATTAAAAACATTGAAATATATATATATATATATATATATATATATATATATGAATAATTCATTCTAAAGAATATACACTTAAAAAGGCAATTTCATTTTGAAAGTTTTTTTTTTTTCCTTTAATATCTATTAAAAATAGTCCAACAAATTCTGCATATTGAAATTTCAATGCAATTCCTAAAGTTACACTATATTTCTTTATTAAAAATATCACAAGTTGATAAAAAAAATAAAATAAATAAATAAATAATATTTTTTTTGATAATAATCAGTAATTTTTTCTATACAATTAAAATTGTGGATAAATATAAATTTTAAAAAAAGAAAACAAAATAAAACAAAACAAGAAGAACAATCAAATAGTTTTCATATATATATATATATATATATATATATCATTTTTAAAAAGATATAAATCAGAGATATTTTCAAAAAATATTTTAAATTTTTATTGGAATATTTCTAATCTCTATTGAAACATGATATAAGCAGGAATTTTTGAAAGGTAATTAAAATATTAATTACTTACTCAAGATCAAATTAAAACAATATTCTGTCTATTTCATTTTATGAAAACCATGATTTGCAATTATATGTTCATCAATGTATCCTAATGGGTTATTTTGTTTTGAAAAGGATAATAAGTAGGTTTTCTATTACTTTACAAGAATATTTCAAAGATAACATAAGATTTTAATGAGAATAGGTTTACTTTTTTAACACCATCCTGTCACAGTTCCTGGTTTTGGCAGTTAAACTCTGAGTCTTTTATAACATACAAGCATGCAATCAAATTGTATAACTCACCATGAAAAGCTGTTAATTTTATTTTATTTTACCCCTTGATGTATATTAGCACTAAATATTGTTTTTCAAAAGATTTAAATTAATACCAGCTATTGTTACTACGGATCAAAATGTTAAAACATTCTCCATCAGCACGTATTGACATTTATATCACATTTCTGAATGATGTTCAGTTTCGTATCATAACTACACAAGGTCCTTTATCCACCCGTTCCAGCTTCTCAGCAGAAGCCACATTCTCCCGGGGGGAAAAAGGTATTTCAATTTACTTTTACTTTTCATCCACGAATGAGAATTGTATTTCTCGCTAACGAAAACGAATGAATGAACCCCGTAACTAATCCACTTCCAACCATATCCAGCCTTTTCATTGGACGAGTCGAAGTGTTGAGTGCGCATGGGGCTTTTTTATCCGATTCCACGTGGCATTGAATGGTTGGATGTGAGATGCTGCAGAATCTGAGAGGAAGAATGTTTTTTACTTTGTTGATGAACACAAAGCCAACCCCTCCTTCTTCTGTTTTCTCATGGTCAAATTATAACACATTATGTGTGAATGATCCTTTGAATCAAACCCACTCGAATTACTCACTGTTCATATCCACTCACGATGCCCGCAATTCACCATAGTATCTTCGCTTCCGAGTAAATCCGGATATTAATTAAAGGATTCTTCTTCAGTTCGTCCGCGCATCCATTGAGGAACGATTTCATCCATCCATCCGTCCGTGCATCAGGATAATCATTTTATCTGTGGCCACAAAGGCAGGAGGAGTTAGGAGGCAAAGGAAGCAAGCTCTCAGACAATACGTCCACAGCCACACGCCTCCTCTTTTACAGTTTGTGGTTTCGGTTTGTTTGGTGTGGTATTTTTTTTTTTTTTTTTTTTCCTTACATCGCGGGCAGGGGGGGAGAAGGGGCAAGAGGGTGAAGAGGAGGAGAGGACGGTCACCACTCTGGCACACGTGTTATGAGCAGGAACCCTCTTCAATGATCATGACGACCGTGTATCAAAGCCTTCTTCACTGCCATCCTGGCACAAAGGGCAGGGGCAGGGGGGCAGGGAAGAAAGGAATCGAGTTGGCAGAGGGCAGAGCAGTCAGGTCAGACAGAGGGCAGTCAGGCGGAGTTCCTTCCTTCCTCTGGCACTGCTTCTGCTTCTGCTGGCTGGCTGGGCTCTGCTGCTGCTGCTGCCCCCTGCCCCCTGCCCGGAACCGGGGCACTCAAGCAAGCCCTGTCCTGCTGCCCTGATGGTGAAGCTGCTGCTGCCCTTCCTGCCCCCTCCGACCCCAACACCCAGCTTTCCCTCCCGTCCCCTCCTTTCCCCGTCCCCGTCCCGTCCCGTCCCGTCCCTTCCCCACCCAGTCAGAACTGACTTAGTCGACGTCCGTCTGTCTGTCTGGCAAACGGTACCTCAGATGACTTCTTCCTTTGCTGTACCCGTCTTGCTGTTCCTGTTCCTGTTCCTCCTCCTCCTCCCTTTGGTCAGCTCCCACCCTTTCTCAGTTATGGCAACACACACACACCGGGCAGCTCGACGCCCACACCCTCGACACCCTTCCTAATCGTCCCATACAATAAAACCAAAAAAAACTAACTATTGTCTAATAAAAACAGACAATATTCTCTAATTTTCAAATTCACCTACTAATACGTTGCATTCTATTTACATATGTCTATTAAT